CCGTTCTCTCTGTGCGCATATACGTGTAAACACTTACCGTCTATGAACTTTACTTACAATTAAAAAATTGAATCTTTAAATTGACTCCTTTATATTTGTAATTTTAATACTATGAAAGTTGTCGAATATATTTTCGAATCTTATATTGATTTTGTGACGAATTTTGTAGTAAATCTTAAATCTTTTCTTGACAATCTCAGCTTTGTTTGTTCGATTCTTACCACAAATAATATTACACGATAAGGAAAATCGAGTAATATTGTCATAGATGTATCAATGTAATATTGTATGGTTTGTTATTTGTTGTTTCTCTAAAGTTACTGAACGTAACAGCCAGTTTTTAAGGCAGCCCGGCTGAAGAAGCGGAGTTAACCGGAAACATCTTGCTTTCATCTTCAGTTTCATGACGTTTAAGATGGCGCGCGATATTTTAGGGCGCTGAAGGGACCGGTACGGGTGACGTTCGTTTAACCGCTATAAAGAGCAAGTTTTTATTATTATTACAGGCGATTAAATAACTTAAGTGCCGTGTAATTACGCTAACATACTGGCAATTTTTGCGTAATATAATATATAATAAATTAAATAGAAAATAAATCACTGAGTTTCAGGTAATTTTGTGTAAAATATTAACAGGGTATTAGTGTGATTATTTAACATATCCATATTATGTTAAATTAACACAAAAATTTGTGTGGATCGTTTGGGACATGTGGTATCTGTTATTAACAAAATGGTATCTGTAATTAACAAAAATTTTTCAACTGTGCAATTTCCCGCGACTCACAAAAATTTCCCGCAAGAAGGCTCGCGAAGCTCAAAAGGTCGCGATTTTCATCACCAGGACTCGCATCCTTCCGTCGCGGCGCATTTCCGACAGGCCGAATAAATGCGATCTGGAATTTGCATTTGCGGGTCACGGCTTGCCGGGCGCAGTGAAAAAAGAAGTGGAAAGAGGCGTCCCTTCTCGCCACCGGATAAGCGCTTGATAAACAGCCGCGGCAGGACTTCCGTGGTATATCTTTCCCCTCCTCCTCTCGCCACCACCTTCTCGTTTGCCTCTGGAAAGAGGACGAATTCGTTGACTCGCCGCCGAGTCAGCGGATGTTTTTCAGAGACACCGACCGATTGAAGCCTCCGAAGGACTCTCGCACCGAAAGGGATACGCTCCCACGCGCGGTTTCGTAAACCCTTTAATTTTAATCAGCGACAAAACAGCACGGACGGCTGTTCACAAAGTTCTGAGCGGCGCGTTCTTCAGGGAATTTTATTGTGATAAATTGTAATCGATAGAATGAGGCGAGCCCGCGGCGAGACAGATCGCGCCGATCGGCGGCGGGAAAGTTTCGGCGGGGAAACTTCCCGTGGAGATTAAGCGAGACCAAGTTGGGATTCATTAGCCTGCGTCAGAGGATCCTGGCGGATGACTGTTCGGGAGAGAGAAACGGAAAGGGGGGAAAGAGGGAGCGAGAGACTCAGCGTCATAAACGATTTACGATTCGCACCTATGCGTACGGGACTCGCTTCGTTACGCGAGCGAGCGCGAACAGGTTTTCGCGAGGCGGCGTTGTTAAAAAGTTGCGCACCCGGTGGTTACTGTTATTTAAAGCCGGCCACCGCGCGGCGCCGTATTTACGGCCGCACTTTTCCGTCGCCTCGGTGATTTATCACTCGTGCCCCTAATCGTGATTAAGCGGTATTACTTGATTAAGCCCTTGTCCCGTTTCATTATATTTATTTATTAATTACCATAACTCGAGGGCACTTTTACGTAACGATACGACACTTTCTCCCTGCCTCGGCGTGCGAAACTGTAGGACTTGGAGCGACGTGGCGCGCTAATTTGTTTAATTAAATTATAGTGTAACTCATAGTAAATATAGACTGAGCGTCCCATTGAATAAGCTGAAGCTTGTGAAGAGAGAGAGAGAAGATTTAAGAAGACTTTCTTTCTCTGTCTTACACCATCGTAAAAGAAAAGAATCGTGCCTGTGCCTCCTTTGCCTCGATGGTGAGACAGAGACAGAAAGTCTTCTTAAACCTTCTCTGTCTCTCTCTTCACAAGCTTCAGCTTATTCAATGGGACGCTCAGTCTATATTTACTATGTCTACGGTGTAACTAGTAGGTTTAAGTAGGTTCACTCCGTCATTTGTTTCGTTCTGCGTCGATCCCTTCCGCGCATCCGACATTGCTCTGGACAGGCCAATGAGAGGAAAGATGTACGCGTGGTAGTGTGGCTTTGATGAGTACGTATACACATACACACACGTCGCTGGATCCTGCCTGGGTGTATGGCGGAATACCACGATTGCAAAAAATGTGTCATTTGAGCAACAAATATTAGTAATAGTACGTAGTATTTCTTTCTTGTCAGTAATTTTGCAACTGTACATTTAAATAGCTCTATCTCGGAAACAGTGGGGAGTGGGACATAAATTCATGTGAGCATTTTTGCTTAAAATGACCGATACTATCACCGCCCAGAATATTGACCTTTCCTCCTGGAACACCCTGTATAGACTGCGCGTAGACCTTACGGGCGCGCTGAAGACTACACTGAAGGATAGAAAGAAGGATAGAGAAGAAGAGAGATATTGCGTGAGTGATGCTTATCTCTCGCTCTTTGTTAAGAGTGGGGAGAAAACGACAGAAAACAACGCATATTAGACAAAACACTCACTCAGGCTATTGCTCCCTCTCTCTCCTTCCCCCCCCCCCTCTCTCTCTCTCTCACACACTTTAATGTAGTCTTTAATTCTTCTCACGGGACGCGCAGTCTGTGGGCTTGTTTTCTGTTGCTACACTGGTGAACTAGTGCAATAAATTAAGAGTAAGACAAGTATATTTTTTCTCATTCTAGCTTACTGCACTAGTTCACCAGTGCAGCAATAGAAAACGAGCGTTATTTGTATAAGTTTATGAGCGTAAGTCGTTGTGTCTCTTTCTAATACGCCAGTTTGCGGGGATGCGAAGACAGGGAGAATTGAACATCGCAATCTATGGTGACGGCCGGCTCATAAGAACGCGCAGTCTTTTCTTCTAACTCTATGAGTTAAATTGAGAGTAACGCACAGCCGTAACAATTTTGAAACGTCGCAGCGCCAAAGTAAAATTCTGCGAAATGGAATTTTCTTTTCTATTAAAATAGACTGTTCATTTCTCTACGCTTACGAAATATTACATAACAGTCTCGATAATATCGAGTCACTTGTTACGAATATTTCTGACACTGGAAAGAATTTTATAAATGCACGCTGTAGTTAAATAAGAGAGATACTTATTAATTAATAGGTAATAGAGAGAAAAATATACACAAGAGTGAAACAACGGCATTATACAGCAGCATAAAGAAGCTTTCATCGAGATTTCTTCAAAGCGCAAATTCCTCCGGACATTTTTTCTTTTGTTACGTCTATCCAATTAATTATTGTCAATCAGAGTTAATGTGGAACGATGATAACAAAGAGCGAGAGAGAGAAAGACCGTAGATAGATAGAGGGGAAGAAACGGGCTAGGAAATCATTCCAATAAACTTTTTATCACGCGCGCCACCTTAATTATCTTCTCATTACCGTTAATTGACTTTTTTATCGTTCGCGCGCTCGAATTATCAGTTTTCCGCGAGCGAGCCGAGCTCTCTCTGCGATCGATGATTCGCCGATACGGTATCACGTTCGAGCCGCGATTCACCGCAATTCAAACGCGACGGTATTACGTATGCGCATGTCGG